TTTATTTATTTATTTTTGAGACGGAGCCTCAAGCTGTAGCCCTGGGTAGAGTGTGGTGGCGTCACAGCTCACAACAACCTCAAACTCCTGGGCTTAAGTGATTCTCTTGCCTCAGCCTCCAGAATAGCTGGGACTACAGGCACCCGCCACAATGCCCAGCTATTTTTTGGTTGTAGTTGTCATTGTTTGGCAGGCTGGGGTCAGATTCGAACCCACCAGCTTTGGTGTATGTGGCTGGCACCTTAGCCGCTTGAATTACAGGCGCCACCATATGTCCTCATCTTCATGATGGACCCCATACCATGGTTATAGGACCAGAGACACATGATAAAATAGGAAGGAAAAAGGGAGGATGTGACCGCATGTATTCTTTATGCTCTGAGAAGTTTTCAAACAAGAAAAGGGAGGATCCCTTGTTCTAAGTATTATTTTATCAATACCTTTCCAGCTGTCATTCTTGGACTTTGACACAAAAAGACTTGAGCTCCTACTGACATGCTACAGACGTACAGAAACACCCTTCTTTGCTTCACACTTCTGACTGAGTTGCACAGGTTAAATCACAGCCCTTTCTACTAGCCACACAATTCAATCTTGTATTTATAATTCTCTGCCATTTTTTTCTGACAAAAGTGACAAGGCAGGTATCTTCCTCTTTTCTTAGAAGGTCCCCTCTGTACATGATCTATCGTGCTCTTAGACACTGTTTTTTTGGCACTTTTAAGTGATTTCCCTACCAGACTCAGAGCTCTTTGAAAGCTATCACAGTATCTTGCTTATCTCTGTTCCCTTGCCCATAGTAGGCACAAAATGTAAATCTACTGAACCAAATGCAACTGGGTGCACCTGGTGAATATTTCAATGAAGGATACAACAGAGAGACAAGCCAAAAGGATTCCTATCTTCCTAAATACTTCGCAGAAGCAAACTCATCTACCCTCAGCAATTCTGGGGGCTGGCCAAAGAATAACTTCCCAACTGATTAATTGAAAAATAATATGTTGGTAATTAAGTGCAGGTGAAAACAGCACCTCCCCTATACATAGGGAAAACCTAATAGGGTTATTAAAGATAATTATTTCCTTCAATGCCCAACTGGATTTTGAACGCTCAAATCAACTTCTGGCTTTTCATTGTAAAGGATTCTGAAAGGGGGTGGAGGGAACCACATGCCTTGATAAGTAAACAAAAAATCAGAACTCTCCCAGGAAGTAAACAAAAAATCAGAACTCTCCTGGGAAATGGTCAGAGTCTTCTTTTCCAATCAACAGTTTTTGATCCACTTGAAAAATGCTAGTGAAAAGCTCCTTTGGCAAGGAAGTCAGTAAGAATATGCAACTCTAGGGACACTACCAAAGTACTGATACCAAGCTCGGAGAAAATGCTGCTTTTGTCTCAGAGGCGGCCTGTGATAAAAACAGGAACTTTACAGAAAACTGATCACAACTGCCCAACAAGCCTGATCACAGGCCCACAGCAGAGCATTGTGTTTCTGTCATTGTTGTCCAAGGGACTTTCTCTAATAACTGTGGCTTGATTTATTCCACTTTTAAAAAAATTCCCAAATTAATCTAAGCTTCCGCGTACCAATCCATTGTCAAAAGAAAAAGTGCCTGCCAGGATTTGCAGGTAACCAACAGTCACCTCTCCTTCCCTCTAGAAAGACTCCAAAAGGTGATCAGGTGCGGAAAATTCAGCCCGAATACAGGCACCAGGGAAAAAACCCTATGACAAAGGTGATCTTAAAGCAGCACCGTGTGTGTCTCTCTGGATTAATGCCACTGCGTCTAATCTCCCTAAGGACCCTCAACGGCTCACCCACTTCCACCTTCTGTCCTGTCACTAAGGAGGAATCTTACATTGTTAAAGAGGGGAGAAGAAATGCTCCCGTGGATTTCCCATGTGTCTTTCTCTCTTTTTGAAGGGGAACGGAGAGGCTGAAACAAGGCATGGGGCCCTCCTCCTAAAGGGGAGAGGAGGAAAGGAGAAAGCTGACAGCCACCCTCCTCGCAGCCCTCCCCCACACCCTACTTGCCCAGACGCCGGGTCAGAAGACGGAGGGCGCAGCTTTGTCTCGGGTTTGGGGGGACAAGAAGCGCAGGAACAGCCCGGACCCGAAGGACCTCTCCCCCAAGCCCTTGCTTAGCCCCCTCCAAAGGAAAACAATGAAAGCCACGGGAAAGCACTTAGCGGGGTGGGAAAGGACAGAGGATGGCTGTGGAGAGCCAGGCCAGATTTCCTGCACCCTCGTCCCCCTTGCCGCACGGCCGCCAGAGCGCGCGGCGGGGACCTGTCTCTGACTCGCTGCGATCCGCAGGGCCCCGGGGCGCCCGCCCCCCGCCCGGCTCCTACCCTCTGAGAGCTCCAGCTCCAGCTCCGCCAGCTGCGCCCGCACTTCAGGCGGCAGCGCCGCCACCGCGGCTGGCGACGGCTCCAGGCCTCGCTCCGCCACCCCGGCCCCGCCAGCCACACTCCGGAAGACTAGAGAGGGGGCCGAAGGAGGGACGACTGACGCCGGCCCACACCCCGGCTACAAGATCCGGCTCCGTCCGCCTAGCCCCGCGAGCGCCGCCGCTACTGCTGCCGCCGCCGCCGCCGCTGCCGCCGCCATGAGCAAGGGTCACGTGAGCGCGGCCGGCCCGCCCCGGGCCGGGAGGACGCACCGCCTCCGCAGCCCGGATGGGCTGAGGACGCGCATGCTTGTAGCGCCCTCTACTGGTCAGGTTCTGAGACAGCGGGCCCGCACCCTCCGCCCGAATTCTCCCACGCGAAATGGGCTCAGGGTGTGGACGTCGGGTTTACCACAGTGTGGACACATAGCATTTACCTTTCTGAACTCTCGAGCAAGTTTTCAGGGGTCCCGGACCTTACTTTTTCCACTACTAGAATTAGAAACATATCTTTGTTTTGTCCTCCTTTTCATTTCCCCTGATTGACACCTACCCATGTATAAGGACCTGATCACAGGCCACCTCCTTCACTGGGGCTTCCCGGGCCCATCTGCCAGGAGCGCTTTGTCTCTGTTTCCGTTACAGCTTTTAAAAGGACAATAGAGGGGAGAATCTGCTTCCTATTGCCTAGACTTCTAACGATTTACAAGAGGGGAACTTGTATTTTCTTCATCCTTTTATCCTTCTCAGCATATGATGTAATGGTGTTCCAAAATAATTTTTAATTTAATATAAGGAGAGTCCAAACATAGGTGCATTTTTTACCAGGAACTGGTCTGGCAGATGCTTTTAATTCTCATTCATTCTCATTCATATTCTCTCTCTCTTTCTCTCTCTCTCTCTCTCTCTCTCTTTTTACAAGAGGGGAACTTGTATTTTCTTCATCCTTTTATCTTTCTCAGCATATCATGTAATGGTGTTCCACAGTCTTACTCTGTCCAGCCTGGCATGCCGGGGCATCAGTTCACAGCAGTCTCAAACTCCTGGAGTCAAGCAATCTTCTTGCCTCAGCCTCATGAGAGTTATAAATTTATTAACACTTCCTCCACCAGGGGGCGGTGCCTGTGGCTCAGAGGAGTAAGGCTCTGGCCCCACATGCTGGAGGTGGCAGGTTCAAACCCAGCCCCAGCCAAAAAAAAAAAACCAAAAACACTTCCTCCACCAAGAAATGAGGTCTGTGTCCCCTCCCCTGCATCTAGATGCACTCATGACTGCTTTGATCACGAGAATATGGCAGACATAATACTGTGTGATTTACGAAGTTAAGTCCTAAAAGCCCATGCAACTTCCACGGTTTTCCTTGAAATACTGTTTTCCAGAGACTCCCTCTCAGGACTGATTCCTGATGCACTCTCTTCTCTTTTTCTCTCTCCTCCCCTCCTACTGCAACATCTTTGCTGGGAGAATCCCAGACTACATTGAAGGTCATATAAGAGATTCTGCCCAACACCTCCTCGCCACACCACCTTCTAGTAATCCTGGCCCAGGGTGAAGAAGCCTCCAAGTGATTCCAGACCCTGGACATTTGAGACTTCCCAGGTAACACCCAGACCATGTGAAACAAAAACAAACCATCTCTGTCCTGCTCTGTCCACATTCCTGCAACCTTGATAAAATGGTCATCCCTTTATGCAACTAAGCTTGGAGTAATTTGTTACATGGTAATCATTACCAAAAGGGCCTCAATAGACATTCTTGCTTATCCTTCCAACAGTTCTTCCCTCCTCTCTCCTTGTCAGCAGACCACACGAACTCCTATTGAGGGTGAGTAGGCCAAATACTCACTTTACCACCACCATCCTTGGGAGGTGTGCAATCCACTGAAGGAGCTGTTGAACAGGGAGCATCTGGGGAGGATTTTCCTCCCTGATAAGAGATGAACAAGGAAAAGCTCCCCCCTTTCATTTCCTTCCTGTCTTTAGATGTCCTGTTTAGTACAACAGCAGCCGTCTTGCAACCATAAGGAAAAATTACCTAGAACTTCACAGAATTGGTCTGTTATACTGTGGGAGGCCAAGGCAGGTGGATTGCCTGAACTCACTAGCTGGAGACCAGCCTGAGCCGGAGCAAGACCCAGTCTCTAAAAATAGCCAGGTGTTCTGGCGGGTACCTATACTCCCAGCTGCTTGGGAGGCTGAGGCAAGAGGATCACTTGAGCCCAAGAGTTTGAGGTTGCTGTAAGCTATGACGCCATAGCACTCCACTGAGGGCAACAAAATGAGACTCTGTTGCAAAAGAAAAAAAAAAAGAATGTGGTTTCTTAAGCTGGGCAGAATGGCTCACACCTGTAATCCTAGCACTCTGGGAGGCCTAGACTGGAGGATTGCTTGAGCTCAGGAGTTCGAGACCAGCCTGAGCAAGAGCAAGATGGGATAGGAGCTAGGGTGCCAGCCACATACACTGGAGCTGGCGGATTTGAATCCAGCCCAGGCCTGCCAAACAACAATAACAACTACAACCAAAAAGTAGCCAGGTGTTGTGGCGGGGACCTGTAGTCCTAGCTACTTAGGAGGCTGAGGCAAGAAAATCACTTAAGCCCTAGAGTTGGAGGTTGCTATGAGCTGTGATGCCACAGCACTCTACCCAGGGTGACAGCTTGAACCTCTGTCTCAAAAAAAAAAAGCACATCTTAGTTCACAATAGTCACATGTCAAGTGTTCAATAACGTGTGGTTAATGGTTCTCATATTGGATAACACAGGTCTAGATAAGATCTTTGCCCACTTTTTTTCTTCTTTTTTGTAGAAAGAGAGGCTTTTGGTCTATTCCACAGGCTGGAGTAAAGTGGTGCAATCATAGCTTACAGCAACCTCAAACTCCTGGGTTCAAGTGATCCTTCTGTCTCTCTCCTGAGTAGCTAGAACTGCAGGAGCACACCACCACACAGAGCTAATTTTTTTTTTGTAGTTTTTGGCTGGGGCTGGGTTTGAACCCACTATCTCCAGCATATGGGGCCAGCACCCTACTCCTTGAGCCACAGGCGCTGCCCAGAGCTAATTTTTAAATTTTTGTAGAGATGAGACTCTCACCATATTGCCCAAGCTGGTCTTGAACTCCTGGCCTGGAGAGCTCCTGACCTCAAGTTATCCTCCCATCTTGGCCTTCCCCAAAGCTCTGGGACTACAGGCATGAGCCATTGTGCTAAACTCTTGCCTACTTTGTTATCACGTGGAATTGACTGGCTTAAATAATCCAGATGTTCACTAAAGTTTTTGCACCCAAAGATACTCCAAACCTCACTTCAAGTGGCTCTGATTTAAAACTGCCTCTAATCCAAAGTAGTCCCTACAGAATGGAGACTCCAAGGGTGAGTGGGTAGCTAAAGGATGGGAGGTTCCTTGGTGGGTACAATGTGTGTTGGTCCAGTGACAGGTGCACTGGAGGATCTGACTTTACCATAGTGCAATCTATCAATGTAGCAAAAGTTCCCTTGTACCCCATGAATATATACAAATAAAAAATAAATAGAAGCTTAGCACTCTGTAAATTTCCAACTGTTATCAACAGGAAGACAGCTGCCAAAGCTCTATAATTGAACAGAGGTGAATTAGGTATATGCAGAAGGACATATTAGGTATGTCTATGAAGGAAAATAGATAATTAAGACATTCCCAGAGATCTGAACTAGGGACTGCTAAACAACTAACAAAGTTACTCCGCTTGCCAGAATAGGGTGTCCTCACTAGTACTGTCAGGCAGTATGGAAGATGGTTTGCAAGAATGACTGTAGTGGCTCAGTGCCTGTAGCTCAAGTGGCTAAGGCACCAGCCACATACACCAGAGCTGACAGGTTCAAATCCAGGCTGGGCCTGCCAAACAATGACAACTACAACTGAAAAATAGCCAGGTGTTATTGTGGACACCTGTAGTCCCGGCTACTTGGGAGGCTGAGGCAAGAGAATTGCCTAAGCCCAGGAGTTTGAGGTTGCTGTGAGCTGTGACGCTACAGCATTCTACCCAGGGCAACAGCTTGAGGCTGCCTCAAAAAAAAAAAAAAAAAAAGAAATGGTAGTAATTCCCCCAAACCCTATTCATTACCCCATTCACTGCCTTTAAGAAGACCCCTCTTGCATACATGGTACGTTTGACCATGAGACCATTCTCTCACATGACCATGAGATAATATCAGACACAACACACAGACTTGGAAAGTGCTTGTGCACTGGGACTTGCCTCCCTCTTTCTGCTTTTGGAAACTGAGACCATGTGAATAAATGTAGGCTGGACTATTAGATGAGGAAAGATATGGCCCAGCTATTGTCATCATCACCCCAGACAACAACTACCAACTGCAAGGCAAATAAAAGAGGCCATGGACTGCCAGTTGATCATGAATCTGTGGGTGTCCCCTGTCCATATGGCCAATTTACAGAGTCACCAGCAAATAAATATTTGCCATTTTAAGCTACTAAATTTTATTTGTTGCAAAGCAAAAGCTCAAAAACAATGTCCACTCCCTATTTCCTTTGCTAAATAGAAATATCATTGCATTTACACTTCTGTGTCTAGCATTATCTTTTGCAGGACCTCTCCAACTTGGGCGATTGAGACACAAATTTCTAGACACAACCCAACTTCTGATTTTGTAGGGTTTGGATGTGACCCAATAATTTATGTTTCTTACAAGTTCTGTGGTGAGGCTGATGCTACTTAGGCAAGTACTACACTTTGTGAGACCCCTTAGTCTATTGGATATGTTGGAGACAAGATAATTTGTTTTTTAACTCCAGGCTGTTTATCCAAGAGAAATAATCTCTAGACCTGAAGGAAAAGATTGCATAGTCCCAGAGGGCCTGAACTCGGATCTGTAGGCAATAGATGGATGATACCGGAGTTCTCTTCCTTTGAGGATGAAATTTCACTGAAGTGTTACCACATTTTCTTTTTTATTGAGATAGACTCTCACTCTCTCACCTTCATTAGAGTGCTATGGCATCACAGCTCACAGCAACCTCAAACTCTTGGGCTCAAACGATTCCCTTGCCTCAGCCTCCCTAGTAGCTGGGACTACAGGTGCCTGCCACAACATCTGGCTACTATTTTTTTTTGTTTAGCAGACCCAAGCTGGGTTCAAACCCACCAGTCATGGAGCATGTGGCAGCCGATGCCCTAACCACTGAGGTACAGGTGCCCCCATCACTGGTTTTTTTTTTTTTTTTT